AAAATATTACGCCGATTAAACGGCTTAAAGTCAGACGCCAATCTTTCTTATGCTGTAAACTATCGTACTTTCGATTACTAACTGGATAGAATGATGCATGCAGAGAACTGCAAATTTTAGTGCTTTACCTGCAATAAATGAGTCAATATGCACATGTCATAGTGCCAAGGTAAAACCCAGGGTGAAATGCACCAGGCTTGCTAGTACGAACATGTGTTTTTGCACTAAACTGGCAGGACACTAACAGCAGGAATGATTCGTGCGCTGTAGCCTAATACTCGAGCTCATATTTGGCCATGCTCTGGCCCCCTCCGGCATGCAAGAGAAACGACGACAGTTGGGATGAAGGTAGTGCATTATAGAGCCGTATGGACTTCCAGGTACATGATTACAAGTTTTTTGCATGAGGCTAAGTCGTTTCTTCGGTAAATGTCTGCTTTTTGAAAAAATGCAAATTTCCAGTTCACTAAAAAGTGAAAATGTTGCTAGAGCGGTCGTTTGTCAAAAAGTCCAAGTATGCAAATGAACTGAATGTTCATTTAAACATCTGGATGACGCACTCGTTTCTGATTTTTCAGTAAAGTCGAGCATTCCTCATGACCACCTGCGGGGAATTCATCTCCAAGCAGAATTAAGACCGCACTCGAAAGTAGAATAACACAGCGAATTTTCAGCCTCGCACCTTATCCCGTGAGCGAAATATCCACTTCGCTACGCCCCAAGGCAGTGGCGCAAGTGCAAATCGGTACTTATTTTAGGTATACGATTTCCACATTGGCGACAAACATGCTGATAAAATTACTGCCACTGTTTTTTGAGTCAGCACAATACCAAGTTGCAAACTTTGACGTGATCGTACGCGCTGCACAAGGGTGTGTGATAGTTGAATTTGAAATATTTAGCTCGCACATGCGCAGAGAATACTCCTGCAAAATTTCAGCTTTGTACCTTGCCTGGTTCGCAAAATTGTTTTCCGGCAAGGAAATCTGCATATTTTTTCGGGGGCCCATGCACTGGGTCAAGGCGCATGTGGGGAAAGATCTCAAAACAGAAGTGTGACACACGGGGTAGGGACATATACCCAAAATTTGTTTCGTCACAACCAGCTGCTTTGAGCTCGCAGCTCGCAGTAGCTGCTTTGAGCTCGCAAAATT